CAGGCATAAATATGGTTTATTAATTAGAATCACCAGACTTTAATTACAGAGAGTAGACAAGGAATCGAAACAGGTTCTTACAAAAACCACAAGACGTTTAATCTCATTGTTCTACCCTATAATCAAGGTGACTCATTAATCCTTGTAGATAGCCTGTAAGGGTAACCTCATTCTATTTCCAGTAACATTGTCTATAAATAGCCAAAGTAGGACGCACGTAACTAGTCTACAATGAAGTGTGCAATATTGCTATATCGAACTTACATAAGTGAAGACAGTGATAATTAAACCTGTATATATATATATATTGAAATGTTACAACCCGTGAAAAGTCTAGTAATAAGCAGGAGTGGTCATCTCCAGTTGAAATACACGTACCTCTTAGTAACCTAATTACGCATGACCTTTCATGACGTCTGCTGAACAATGACATAAAATCAAAAAAAAAAATCGAAGAAAAACACGTAAAACGGACATTTAATGATGTCGCGATATTAGATCAATGATATGGTCAAGTTTAGGGCAATCCATGCGGAAGTGACGTAAGACGCTGATTGGATGCAGTAGAGACCCTGCGGGAGGTCTCTGTGAGAGGTCCGAGATGTCTCACCAACCGTCTGGATGGAACGATGGTCATGAAAAGTAAAAAACAGTGGACAAAAACGTTAAATTCTGCAGACAAACTGACAACTTACCGTGTCTAAAAACAGCCTAATATCTAAATACACCTGCGCATATTTCAAGGCTCCCGCAGGGTCAAATTACAAAATGGCGATATTGAGAAATCTCGGAGAGCATCATGAGAGGCTGATAAAACAGAAAACTAGCAAGAAGATTGGAAATCGTTTCCACAGCGTTCTACAGCTGTAAATTCAATTATCAATACTGACAACTCGAGCACAATTTAACATATTTAAGACCGTGGAATGTACATTTACACTGAATGTAAACTGATTTCCAGTTTCTCATACGTGCTACAACACCGACGACACCCGCCCTGAAATTCCTGACAAGTACTGACAACTCATGCACAATTTAACATATTTAAGACCGTGGAATATACATTTACACTGAATGTAAACTGAGTTTCTCATACATGCTACAACATCGACGACACCCGCCATGAAATTCTCTGTTAATCTAAGTAAATAATGTCACGTCCCTTAACGAGAAAAAAAAGTGAACAACAACATTACCACCAGGCATGCTACCAAACACACCAAACTTCACGCAGAATTAGTATATATCCTGATCATTGTGACGAGTGTTTAAATTCCCCATTATTTTGTAAGATATGACTATTATTCAGTCCTTGTTAATCTGTTAATAAAGCTTGAAACATTCGTACACATGTTTGGGCTGTTTTGATCGCTTGTTTCCGTATCTACGGTAATGCGACTAACCGTTGTTAAGTCCTGAATTAGAGATTTATTATAACATTTTCTCTCTTACAGTAATTAATTGGTTACACTTAAATTTTGAACAAATATAATCTGCTTTATAGATACAACAAGTCTTTTTACTGGTCACAATTTACGTAATGTGTTATATTTTGTTCAAAATGATTTGCACTCTTGTTACTGATTGGACTAATATTTTACTTAATAATTAAGATGTAACAATAATGTTTTAGATTTGATAATTAAAAAAGTAATAACAAAGTAAAAACAGGTCACCGTGTGCTTTGTCAGTAAAATTCCAAAGAAAAATATATTTCCAATTATATTGAAATCTAGAGAATAGCGAAGGATAATCAAATTTCTTCTCAAAATCGGTGAAGTTGGGGCCAAAATCGAGGCAAAAATAAATAAATTCTCAAAGTAGCCTATCTAGGTACGCTGCGTCCTTCTAGGACCCTTCAGTGATACTTAGTTCCTAAAGTTTGAAATCTAGGAGGCGATTAAAGAAAATCAAAAGTGATCCAAAGAAATGTCAAAATTTAGATAGGAACGTACACTGCCTACGCAAACAATGTTGTAATTATCATATATCTGATAAATAAGAACGATAAGTTTCGGATAAGTGTCATAATGGGATATCATTCTGGAAAATGTTCTCGCCCAACAATGGTTACTCGGAGGGGAAATTAAGCTCCGTGTTTTGGCCAATGTTTGGCATGAATATCAGAATTTAAGCATTTATCTGACGACCGAGGAGGCCACTTCTGACAAATCGTAAGATGCCTAACTTGTTGACTATAACCACAGTATGTATACATTGACGATGTCCGTAACCACTGTATTATATACCAAGTGGTTCAGTACATGGCCTTTAGCACCTACAGCGTCCGGTATGTTAGATTGATGACGTCGGGTCTTTGAGTAACATGAAATTTACTGACCACGTCCATCGCATATAGACACCAAAACTGGAACCAAGGACACGACAGACTCTTCTACATCAGCAGCTTATCTCGATCTGTTCCTACCACGAAACCACAAGCTACATAATAAACATAATGATTTCAATTTCCATATTGTGAATTTTCCATTTCTGGATATCAAAACGCCTGCGTCACCAAACTATGGCGTTTACATGTCTCAGTTAATTCGATACGCAAAAACCTATTCCATCCAGGGGATCAAAATATGAAGTTTGATGAAAATTATAGAGAAGTTTTACGGTCATCAAAATGATCTTACAGAGAAATACTCTACTTCTTTGTACGATATGAAGATGGACGTGTTTGATGCTCGTTAGTTTTGCCATTGGTTCCATTGTTGTATACATTGTTCTCATTTGAGGGCGTGACATTACGCTTGTGGACTGACTATAATTTACATGGCAGGGGTCATCGGTTAAGCACAAGACGCTTACTTTTCAGGACCAGATGGTCTTATTTTGTACTATTTCAGGATTCTCTGCGTAAACATGTTGCTCTTGTATAATTAACTTTTATAATTCTGTTGACATGTTGCTATTTTTCATGTTGATGTATTAACATCATTGTTCCCATGGCATTAAATTTATCATAAACAGTGGACGACGAAATTTTAAATAAAAGTGATAAAATGTAAACAGATGGGTATGTTTGTAACCATATTAAAAATAAATATAGTTGGTTTCAAGGTGTGCGATGTTTGCTTCCCTCCACAACCATGGCGATGTATCCCTCTTCCTGTCCATAGTTGACTCCACTAACTTCCAAAAATCCACACGATGTTTGGAAAACACTGAAAATACAACCCATACGAGGCACATATGTTGTACGATCCTGAAAACAATATATTATACTCAAATCAACAGTATAGAGTACTGGGATGACAATCAATAGCAGAACTGCCAATATATTTCCAAACTCATCTCTCATTTTGCCTGACACGGTTTACAACTACTGACTCCTAAAGGTTGCTCTCACACTTGTAGCGGTGTTACTAAGATGATTAAGTGGTAAATGATTGTATGTTATTATCCGTTGTGTCCTGGCTGTATCACAATGAACACAGACGTTTGAATGCCTTTTATAGGCGACATGAACCGATTTTCATTAATCCAACTTAAAGCTGTATATTTCATCACCAGGGAAAACATACCCCTCCCCCTGTATAGACATGGTATGTCCTTTCACAAAAAGTCAGCATGTTTACTAGATATAATATAGATTTCTGCCAACGTAAGCGTGTAAACTCAGATAACCTCGCAGTCAGTGTGTCATTGTCGGAGTTTCTAGACAGGATTGATAGCAGTGCAAACATACCAACACGTTAGCGCACAGGTAGGTCAAACTATTATAAAAGAAAAGTTCGTTCAAAATAAGACATTATGTGTGTTGTAAACATTTAACAGCGAGAACATTATAAACTGACAACAACAAAGCTTGTTTGTTAAATGAGTCTCCCGTTAAGCATGATTTGTTAGTTTTATCGAAAACACACAATTTTTTCAAAAACCTTAAAAACGTGAGAAAGCCACATGACACGTCACGCCCGTGTCGAATTGTTGTCGTATTATTGTCATTGTATGTCAGCGATTTTTATTTCGGAAATAAGCTGATATTGTTTTCAACAAAGAACATTTTATTCATAAAATTATCACTATAATCGATGCATAAAACCGAAACATTAGCCTACTAACTAAAAAGACAGTGCCATGTTTTGATGGAATTATTTTCCCCGCTTGGTTGTTCTATGGAATTCCTATAGGTAGACGAATTACGTTTCGTCAATACCTTTGCTCTATCTAGGTAAGCCACACGACACGTCACATTATCCGCTGTGATAAATCTACCGCATTATATTTGTTTGGCTTATCTCTCTTCTAATTATTCAGTTTTACCAGAGAAAAATCACGTCGTTTTCTTATGTGTCGTCAATTACTTAAGTTTCAAATTAGCTTTCACAAAGAAAGCACGGACAAGAAGTTCATTTGGAGCTCTTTCGTATTTAAAGGTAGTTTTGATCTAAACCCGGAAAACTTTACCCAAAACCTAACGCCATTTCTTATTCTTTCTTTACCGTTTTGACCGCCATTTTAAACTACAGAAACTGATGTGTTGTCACACTTAACATTGTTTCCCAATACTTTTGGAACATAGATGCAACCTTGTCTGAATTCCTAGATTTCGCCTTGACATCAATGCTATATGTTCTTATGAACTGAACACCTGGCAACGTTATAGCTACTCATGCAGTGGCTAACCTACTTAAACATCGCGATAGCGGCTTCTTTAAGATGTTATCGGCTATGTAGGAATAAAAACCTTTATCAATTATTGAAACTTCAATGATTTCGATAGACAAATTACCATCTTTGAGCAGATGCCTAGCAACGTTCTCGTTATTCTGCGGCTGAAGCGCGCGCGAGACTCCGCGAGCAGACGGTCATATCTTGGCACGTGACGAAATTATGTATGTTCGAGCGGAGAGTTGATGGAGATTTTGCTGTGGTGACCCTCCTAATAAATGAGAGTGACTGGAGTGTTCCCGGAATAATCAATAGGTGATAGATACGAATGAGATTGTCGTGTTTTATAACCCTGGAGCCGACAGACATTGAACTTGTGTGTAGTCGTGAACAAGCACACGTGCATTGTCTTTTGTGTTGAATGATGTAAAGGCAGCACTACACTCAATCGACATATATTTAGCATGCCGACTAATGTGTAAGCCTTCCGTAAATTCCCGAAGATCAGTTTGGACACTGGCTGGTGCTGCTAGCGCGCGTTCAGCATTTGTCTGCTTTTGTAAAGCTACTGTTCTGTGACCGTGTTTGTTTATATATCGATCGCGTTTACACACGTGCATGTACGTGTGTTAAGTTAACAATATTTACACTACCAATGTATTAGACGGTTATCAAGTTCCAGTTCAAATTCGAATGTTTACACTACATATGAAGAATATATTTTTGAATTTTCACTTTGGTCAATAGCAGACGACACCTATTCAACATGGCTGACAAAAGACGGGATGTTATCGTCATTGGTGCTGGCTTGAGCGGTAAGGCTTTTTGGTCATATTTTTCTACTTATAACATCTCCGCACTAAGTTGGCCTATTTAACCTGTAATAGTGTTTTAAGAGATCTTGCAAAATGTTTGGTCGAGGGGTGCACGTCTTGCGTAACTTTTGATCGTATCACAGTATACTATACGTGGATGTAATACATTGTTATATATTTGATGAAGGTAAATATAACGTACTATTTCCCGGTCATTACGAGAGCACAATGAACTATTGTCACCATAATGTAACCAAGCGAGAACAGCTCAGTACATGTAAATACAACTGTAAAGCTGTATTGTGTAACACCTGTATGTCATAACGATGTAACATTCTAAAGGACACAGATTTCGTTATGGTAAGTTTTCAGTGATTTTAAAAGTGATAACAAACGACGTAAGTGAACTGATGTACAAATTTTAGCACAGTAATACATATCTTTATGAACTGATAAGGTAGAGACAATGGGAAGCAAGGATTTGTACATGAAGTACTGATCGATCTTACCCAATTATTCCGAAATCGATTAATCATGGTCAATAACACCTCTTTCTGTAGCATGCATTGCTATTTTACCTAGGTCTGATCTGCAGACAGTATGCACTTAATTTTTCACTGAATTTAGGAAAAAGCGACATCATTTATGTTGTGCGAGCATTTTAAAATCAACTTTACATTTGTTGATGAAATGAATCAAGTACGATTCTATTTACAAGACTGATATATTACACGATATACTATAACACAAAGCGATTACAGATGTGTACTCAAATTTAGCAAGTTTGTTTTAAAAGGCGCTGTGACTTTATGTATGTCATGTCCAATATCTCACAAACATCAGCAATGTCCTCAAGTAAATAGGCATGACCTGTTAACATGTATGATCTAGTCTATGTAGCGGTATAAACAGACAAAGTAACATCGTATAGTGTAAGATGATAATTTAGTAGTATCAAAGAAATAAGTAACTTTAAGTAACTTTACAGATTTAGTCAACACTGACGATAAGGCAGTCACTTTACACATTTAGTCAACACTGACGATAAGGCAGTCACTTTACACATTTAGTCAACACTGACGATAAGGCAGTCACTTTACACATTTTGTCGAGACTAACGATAAGGCAGTCACTTTACACATTTTGTCGAGACTGACGATAAGGCAGTCACTTTACACATTTTGTCGAGACTGATGAAAAGACAGTCACTTTACACGTTTTGTCGAGACTGATGAAAAGACAGTCACTTTACACGTTTTGTCGAGACTGACGATAAGGCAGTCACTTTACACATTTAGTCAAGACTAACGATAAGGCAGTCACTTTACACATTTAGTCAAGACTAACGATAAGGCAGTCACTTTACACATTTTGTCAAGACTAACGATAAGGCAGTCACTTTACACATTTAGTCAAGACTAACGATAAGGCAGTCACTTTACACATTTTGTCAAGACTAACGATAAGGCAGTCACTTTACACATTTAGTCAAGACTAACGATAAGGCAGTCACTTTACACATTTTGTCGAGACTGACGATAAGGCAGTCACTTTACACATTTAGTCAAGACTAACGATAAGGCAGTCACTTTACACATTTTGTCGAGACTGACGATAAGGCAGTCACTTTACACATTTTGTCGAGACTGACGATAAGGCAGTCACTTTACACATTTTGTCGAAAATAACGATTAGACAGTCACTTTACACCTTTTGTCGAGACTGACGATTAGACAGTCACTTTACACATTTTGTCGAGACTGACGATAAGGCAGTCACTTTACACATTGTGTCGAGACTAACGATTAGACAGTCACATTACACATTTTGTCGAGACTGACGATAAGGCAGTCACTTTACACATTTTAATCATCACATCTGTGACAGATAGACAGCCTCTTGTTGATGATACAGCTACCAGTTGTTGTTTCCATTCATAGTGACAATGATAAGGTCTTTGTGAGAACCTTGCATTCGCGGTGAACAAATACGAATGCTTGTTTGTCGTCTATCGACTGGATATAAGTAAACTGCTGCTTTCAATTGGTCAGGATGCATTCTACATCATAAAATCTGGTGTAAAATCTAAATCGATATACGTTCTCTATGTTACCGCATTGTAACATAAAATGGACTGTTGTATGACCTTAGTCTCCGCTTTAGTCTAATTATTTAGAATATTCATATATTTACAAAATATTCTAGTTGGGATATTTAGAACATCCCCCACTTTGGCCCTTCACTGCTGTAATTTTCAATTTTGGAATCTCCAAACCATGAAATTTGGCCAAACATGTGTGTGTGTTATTACAAATCAGATCAAATTAAATACACAATTAATTCTCATTTGTGAAATTTGATAAAGCAGAATTTCATAAAGCATTTTTAAAAAATCACCATATACACCGCGTTTGAAAAGCAGCGACTTCAACTGTACCGTCATACAATGCATTATACAAAAGGAAGTAGGTGGCGCCACCTGGGGGCTATTTACGACGTCATGGCATAACAATTTTTCAAAGAAGGAACACTTTGTTTGATGTTTTTATTTATTATTTGCAAATTTATATACATATTATATCACCTTACCTATAGATATCATACATGTCTATATATCTAAATCACGATAAAATAACTTCTGTGATGTAAGCAAGCTTCACTCACTTTTGTGCAAATCTGATTTCCGATATATAAACACATAGTGATGAGCAAGTCATATCTAGAGACTATGTAAAAGCAATTGTAAGCACTTCGCTATGTCTGTCCTGGTAACATTAAGGTATCATGTCTTTTTTCTTTCTTCTTCTTAATTCCAATTTTTCCAAAAATTCAAATTCCTGAAGAATATACACTTTTTACAAATTTTAATGTCCTTATCATATTATTATAGCTGGTTATATCGTTAAAACGAATTGCGTTGATAGAGCTTAATGTGTCAATATTAAACATAAAAGTTGGCCTGTCCCAAACATTAATCCTCCTATCGAGGGCTGGGATAAAGTTTAATATGGGCAAGTGGTGAGATATCTCATTCAAACACTTAGTAAGATGATTTGATTTTCTCAATGTGCTTGTTGGTAACGTTGAATTGAAAACAAATATTCTAGTTAAAGTGCAATTGAGAAAGTTACAGAGTAATAATTGGATTTCGTATCAAGTTAGATTTTTTTGTAAGAAATCACTTCTGAATAAACTAGAAACAGCGGGCACTTTAAGATATAATATGATGTATGCAGTAGTTGTATATACTAGATGTCTGTACGCATTGAAACCGAAAGGTTTACATAGAGTTATCGTCAGACACCATATTTTGTATCTCAAGTGAGTGCGAGTACGATGCGAACTTATCAGCCTCTGTTCATTTGCCTCAGAAAATTCCAAGAGTATATGGCAGCCATGCTTAGTTATTTAAACAATTTCTAAAAATATTTTATGTACCGTTTGTTCAGTAGCGCGACCCACTTATGAGGCTATAGTGCACCTCGCCGTCTAGATTTTAACTTTTTTTTCAGATCAAATTGGATTTTTCTCCGTCGCATCCTAGGCTTGGAAATTTAGGCCTTTAGCATCACCAACGAGTCCTGGAAGTACAAAACAGCTGTATAATGTTAAATTAATTGTTTGACTCTACTGTATCTAACTCTAAATTTGAATCAAAAGGAGTTATTCACTTGTGTGTGAACCATCCTATGCTATTTGGGACCCCACACCTTCTGTCTGTGATATTATATTATCTACTTAGGACCCCACGCCTTCTGTCTTTGATATTATATTGTTGGCTTTGCCGGCGGACGTAATTGACGTGTCTGTTTTGACTTACAAATAAAACAGCAATTAGGACCATTCTCTTCGCTTTCGTTTATATTTTATGTTTGATTGTGATGACATGCACGTCGATGCTACCTAATTGGAACACAAATATTGTTCTATATACAATAGACACCACACTATAGCTTTATGAGGCTAGAGCAGCCACTTTGTACACCACATTATAGTAACAATAATACGACGGCAATACATCCATTTGGAACCATACAGCTTCTGTCTGTGATATTATTTACTTGGGACCCCACACCTTCTATCCGTGATATTATATTATCTACTTGGGACCCCACACCTTCTGTCTGTGATATTATATTATCTACTTGGGACCCCACACCTTCTGTCTGTGATATTATATTATCTGCTTGGGACCCCACACATTCTGTCTATGATATTATATTATCTGCTTTCGACCCTATACCTTCTGTCTATGATATTATCTACTTGGGACCCCACACCTTCTGTCTATGATATTATATTATCTGCTTGGGACCCCACACATTCTGTCTATGATATTATATTATCTACTTGGGACCCCACACCTTCTGTCTGTGATATTATATTATCTACTTGGGACCCCACACCTTCTGTATGTGATATTATCTACTTGGGACCCCACACCTTCTGTCTATGATATTATATTATCTACTTGGGACCCCACACCTTCTGTCTATGATAATATATCATCTACTTGTGACCCCACACCTTCTGTCTATGATATTATATTATCTACTTGGGACCCCACACCTTCTGTCTATGATATTATATTATCTACTTGGGACCCCACACCTTCTGTCTATGATATTATATTATCTAGTTGGGACCCCACACCTCCTGTCTGTGATATTACCTACTTGGGAAGATGACTGGTATGATTCCATTACATAAGACTCGAGGAACAACGACATTTTATATATACGATGTATTCGCCACTAAGATGTGACTCATTCTCGCCGAATCATTATTGGGTTTGCTTAGCATAAACGTAAAGCAAGTCTGCTGTTCAGGTGTCTTGTAAAAACATCAACAAAATCGATGTCGATAGAAACGTTTAGCTGGTATGTCTACCAAGGGGACAGGAAAATAAAACAACGACATGTATTTAAGAATTTTTTCAGATATAGAATATAGATATAGTAAAATACATATCTACTGGTTCCCGACAAGTAATTAGACCC